ATTTTTATCATTATTGCAGTTAATAACAAAAAACAGATTTATATTCAACGCTGCGTCGCTATTCAAAATATCAAGTTATTTAGGTTTCCCAATTGCTTAAAATACGGTATTTTATTATTTGCTACTCTTTTGTTTGTAAGACGAATTTTGTGTACAAATAATGTGTGCGCATATTATGCGCACACAATATCATTTAATGATTACACTACATTTAGTAATAATAAAATGTTTGTAGCATTTATACTAAATAATATTAATTAACTATTTTATTACATCTATTGATAAAATATTTATTTTTTAAGATTGATAAAATTTTATAGATATTTAACAAACAGATCTGTAAAAGTATGATTTTATACTTATAAAGATTTTATGCCAATATTTTTTTCAATATATTTCACTTTTGTCAATATATGTAGTTTATTATAATTCAAACTTAAATTCAAAATTAATCAAATTTTTGAAACTCTTGGCACTTCTGAAGGTTTCATGAAAGTTTGCACTAACACCAGTTTGTGCAACATTTGCACTTAGGCAGATTCGCAATTAAAAAAAGTCAAACATTAAGAAGTGTTTGACTTGTTTCCCATTCAGATCAGTAAATAATAGTACTATGATATGTCGACGGAGAATTTAATTAGAGAGATAAGTTTTATTGAAAATGATATAAAGTCAAACGAATGGAAAAACATAAAAGTTTTATAGACAAAAATCTTGAAGGTTTATAAATATTTTTAAATACTTTTGGTTTATGATTGTAAAAAAAAGTTGTTTTCTTTTGTTAAAAATGATCTTACTCCACTAAAATGTGTACATGAAATACTTAAAACAATATTACATTCAATTATTTAGATTTTGACATTAACACTAATAATACTTTTAACGTCATTTGCTCGAAACGGATTCATAAACGCTTATAACTAGGGGTAATACAACGTAATTAGAATTATAAGAAATTAACAAAAATACAAAATTTAAAACAAAAATAACTAAATCGGATGTTTTGGATCATTTTTATAACATCAAATAATTGCAAAATTTGATGTTCGCAAAAGGAAAGGAAAACAAATAATAAACAGTACTTTAACAATAAAATATTGATTGCCTTATACCGTGTAAAATGGAACGAAACGCTAATTATTCTAAATGTTAAGAAAGCCAACTATATATTTTTAATTGCCTAATTTAAAAAATATAAAACATTTTTTTAGATTTTAAAATTATTGAAACTAAAAAAGCTTTTAAAATCGTGGTTTATGTTTATATGGTTTAACAAAATGGGTCTTTAAATCTTTTAACATAAAACATTATTTTAACATAAAACATTTTGCAATAACTAATGTTAACATTGCAAATTTAAAAAAATAAAGTAAACTAGAAAATGCAACTAATTATTAAAATTATAAACTTTTTATTAAATCAGAACTCAGAGAAATTGTAGAAAAATATTTATTCACAAAAAACTTGGTGCATTATAATATAAATAATTGGTAAAAAAGGAAAACTATCAGATAATTAAATGCAATGACAGATATCATCGAGCAATATATGATCGATATATGTATTAATAGATATGATCAGATATGATCGATATTCTTTCTAAAATCTCAATATTCTTTGCAATAAATAATTTGCCATTAAACTGGTTATTCAACCAACTATCCTAAAATGATAATGCAAAAATTAAGACAGGAATACTTAAAACGGATATTTCTGATTATTTTCCGATTTATATAGTATCTATATAAATAGGAAAGTAATCAGAAATATATATATAACAAATTCAGTAAACCTGATGATCACAAAAGAAACGTAACAAATTATTAATAAACATTACTTTCAAAAAATATTTCCACGACTTTAATTGTGCGTAAAATAGAACGAAACGCATTCAGCCGTGGCGCAGTGATTTAAATCTTTACTACAGAAGATTTTCAGACTTGAAACCTGTTCAAGCCATATAAACAACATTGGTAAAGAGACGGTGTGGGAGACGGTAAAGAAGGCGGCGTGAACTTGCTCATTAAATGCTTTTCCGTTGTGCTTTGCGACAAGACCGTTAGATCCTCTTAAAGAAATTTTTAAAACTTCAATAAAAAATAGATCTTAACAAATTTTTCTGATTTATCTTATCACAGCTTTTGATAGAATAAAATATAATGTTCTCTTTTGTAAAATTTAAAAATTATAACATCACAGATTCAAACTATAATAGGTATAATAGACTGGAGGGAGAACGAAGTTAAAATACGTCATTTCTCAATTAAACACCGCGTAATTATCATTATTTAAAGTTAACCAATTCACATTCCACTTTTAACAAAAGTTATTGATTCAAAACGTCTTAACCCAGCCGGCACAACTCAGAAAATAGTTACGCTTGGTTTCTGTTGCGTTTTTAAAACCTTCTAAAATAAAAAGAATAACACGTATCAAAAATGGTTTTTATTCCGTGAAATTAACTATTACTATTTACCATAAATACCAGATAAAGTATTAATGGTTTCACAGTTATGGAAACTTAGTATCATATTGTAATGACTTTCCGTAAGGAATGTGAAACCAATGATAAAAACATGCGACATTTAAATTTGACTTTAAAACCTCAAAAAACACGTATTAAACTCTAGTAAAACTACCCGTAATATACACGTGCTTTTGGTTTACGCCTGGATCGTGAAAAACACGTGCCTATATAGGTTTTATTTCCGAAAAAAAAACTAGATGTGCCGATAGGGAAGCAATTGAAAATAAAAGATGGAAGTTTAAAAAATTCGTATACAATATTTATTATTTTTTTGTTGTTGTGTTTTTTAAACGACTAATGATGAGTTTCTAGATTAGAATTGAATTAATAAATGTCTAGATAAGAATTTGGTAGTATTTTGCCGGATTTAACAAAGGTAGTTTATATCTCTATATTTAGAATATAGAAATTTGTTTTACTCCAACTCAAAAAAAAAAAAAAAGCCTGGGGGGATTTAATAACTGCCTGGCCGAAAGAACATTCTTAAAAAATCTAACAAACCTAAAGCTAAACAGGCAAGCAAAAAATCAATAATAGGTAATAAATATTGTCTTAATCTTTGATATTTATACCTATAATTGAGGTGTGCAAGAAACAATTACTTCACCTAATAGTGATTTTTGTTGTAGTTAACTTCTTAATTGATCAAATAGTTGTTAAAAACCTATCCAATAAACTTTTAAGAGATTAATCCACTTTGATTAGAGCTTTCAAAGCTTACAAATTACATTTCAAAATTTTTCATTTTTACGCAAAAGCGTCATTTTGACTTGCCTCCTGAATAATTACACAACAAAGAATATATCGGGTTTAAAACCATTTCAGGCTTCATTCTCCCTCCAGCTATTATATATCTTTGATTCAAACTTAGTTTGGTTTAAAGGACATCGTTAAAAACGGATTTAAAGACAATTAGTGTTTTATCAATATTTATTTTTAATTTAGTCTTGACAATTTTGAAAAACCATTCTAGGAAGCATTGAGCATTAAATATATCAGATTACTTCCGGTTTTACCATGTGGCATCATGGGTTGCATCAACTTCCACATTTGGAAGAGTTTAAGACATTTAATTAACTCACGATGATTTTATTTGCAAGGTTGTCTGTTAGATTTATTTAGTCGTAATTGAATATTTGAGGAAACATACAAGATTTTTTTTTCCATACTTGAATACTTGAATACTTGCGTGATTACAAACGTAATCACGCAAGTTGTAGATCAAAAATGTGGATTACAATCCAAATGTCTTAAAAATAAAACTTATTTTATTGTAAAGTGTACAAAGTAAATACTTTGTGTTTTTAATAAAATTCTATTCCTAATTAAAATATTTTATCAGGAAATTAAACTTTATTTCAAATAAAATGTGTTATGCGATATATTGAAATAATGGTGCACATTTTTATGTCATCATTTAATTACACTAGCAAATTTATTTATATCATCATTAATTTACTTACACTAGTAAGCTCTTTTTCCAAACTATATTGGAAGTGAATTTCATGAGCTTCATTGTAAGTAAACTTCATGAACTTCATTGGAAGCTAAACTAGCTATTCAGACGTCGTTAAAAAAATTTCTGGTAAAAATATAGGTCTTTTTACTGCTGCAGAATGTATTTTCATAGGCTGAACATAAACCTTCTGTTGCATTAACAAATTTTTTAACTGTTTTTTGAGTAGACAATATTTTTTATTACTTTATGTATACTAACACTTAGGCTAATCAAACTGAAATCAAAATTAAACATAAATAACATTTAATGAAATAATAAACAAAAGCAGACTGAGTTTAAATCAAAAATGTTTTAAAAGGCAGCTAAGTAAACATTAGAATTTGATCAGCCTAATAATTCTTACTCCTAGCAAAATCTATATTTTAATGACATCTAATCTTTTTTTTTCCTAAAAATGAGTAAAATACACATGCGGGAAAAAAGCTTCAATTTTATTGTACAAAATGTTTAAAATGACACAATTAAAAATATAGATACGTAACAATGCGGTAGAAATTTAACTAAAAGAATTCTTGCATTATCCAAGCAAAGGTTTGAATACTTGGTGGAAGAATTTTGCTATAAAAATTAGCGCGTGCAACCAGAGAGTTACAAAATTTCAATCAAAATCCTGAAAGTTTTTTTTTTTTACGTACGAAAATTGTTCTTAGTCGTGTAAACTGATATTCAAAATTAAGCGTATATGTAAATGTTTTGCCTGTTGTTCTTTGCACATCTTTTACACATTTTAAAGTCTCTTTTAATACCTTCTGGATAATAGCACACTTTAGTAAAGTTTCCTCCTTTTTTTATTGTAATTACCTCCTCACGGTGTTTACCCACTCTCTTACCTTTAGCTCTCAAACACATGACAAACATAACTACTGCGCGGAAAAGCAAGTGGTTTAACTTGAGACGCATTGCGAATCGAATTAGGAACTTCTCGCTTATTAGGTATACATCCTGCCACTATCACTATTGCCTCTTGATCATAGCTGTTATACTTCTTTCTATTGCACGCTTTTATTTACGCACTTTTTTAAAATTGCACCAAAAATAGTTATGCTTTTTAACGTCTTTT